TCGTGTATAGCGTGTAACATCAAGTGACATGGCTACAAGTATTTCAGAAGAAATCGAGGTATGTTGATGAATCGAATCATGTAGAAATGTCAATTTCGTCCACACGACGTAGATCACGGCGAAAACAAAGCGTGATATCGTGCGGCAATTCTCTGTCGATCCTTTACATTCTTTTCGTTATCCTTCTCCCTCTGCGTCCCTCACCCTCTTCCTCGTAGAAAGTGATCCGCGAAGTTTGCAGCGTTTTTTCGTTCGGTAAAGGTGCCCCGCCGCGTCAGTCCTATCGATCATTTATAAATAATTGCCGGAAATATCTCGGGCGATTGCGAGGGGTGGCGTGGAACCGATCGGCAAAACGATGCGCACACAATCCGTTGTGACCATCGTACAGGTTAGCGCGATCATGCATAAGGTTGCTCATAATTTCCGAATCGATGCGTCTGAATGCGATCCTAAGACGATTTCTTTTGATGTCGGGTAAACAATGACGTAACTCTTTCTAGGAAATCGATCGAAAGCAGAATACGGAAGTAGCGAGCCCTGGCGAGTTTCCGCCTGAATACTTAATTAAACATCCATTGCAAAACACCTGGACTCTGTGGTATTACGAGCCTGATAGAACTAAAACATGGGAAGAAAGCCAGCGGGAAATAACGAGCTTTGATACAGCTGAAGATTTCTGGAGGTAACTGGATTTTTTTTCAATAAACATGAAAAACATGCAAGAGATTTGCAAAATGTAAAATATGAACTATAGTAAAGGAAAATCGTTTTTTTTTGTTATGTGCAGCTTGTATAACCACATAAAGACAGCCTCTGAGTTAAGACAAGGTTGTGACTATAGCATGTTTAAGCAAGGAATTCGGCCTATGTGGGAAGATGATCAGAACAAATGTGGTGGCCGATGGCTAATAAATCTAGATAAAAAGCAAAGAACTACGGATCTAGATAATTTTTGGTTAGAAATTCTACTGTGTATGATTGGGGAAGCCTTCAACGAATATTCTGATGACGTTTGCGGAGCTGTAGTAAATGTCAGGCCAAAAGGAGACAAACTTGGTATCTGGACATCGAATGCAGATTGTGCAGATAGTGTTATGGAAATTGGGTAAGATGTCAAGCTACTTCGATTTTTTGTCTCTGACTTTTCAAGCTTACTAGTATGATAATTTGTGATTTTAGCCGAAAACTCAAGGAAAGATTAAGGATTACATCTAAAACAACTATGGGATATCAAGTACATAAAGATACTATGGTGAAAGCTGGGAGTCAAACGAAAAATACTTATACACTTTAAATATCATTAAAAATTCATGATATCACCCCTAAGTTGTTCATTCAAATATGTTAATATGAAAAATCATCAGATAATAAAATTGTGTGGAAATATATCTTTGCATTATGTTAAAAAAAAAATAAAAATTTTGTTTTCAAAAGCATGTTATATTGTTGTAGTTATGTTTCTATAATAACAGATTAAATTAAAATTAATAAATCACATTAAAATGAAATAAATGGATATATTATTAATATAAAGATTCAGTTTAAGAAATATAGAATACATACATATAGCTCACCTATGATTGATGAGATACGCACATACGGGCTGCTGTATTTTTGTGACTAATTAACTATATGATTTGAATAAATTTATATTCTTAAATGTAATTGTACTTATTTTTCGACAAATAAATCCTTGTAATCTCATTTAACACTTATGTACAGTAGTTACAATTATACTCAAGAATTTTTTATAAATATAAAAAAGTAGTGGTATATGCTTTCGTACTTTTATTTATATCAGTTATATAACTTCTTTATAAATTAGATACTATCAAATCTGTTCATTGTTAAATTATGTCACATTTTATTGGAAAACAGGATAAGTTAAAGTGTCAATTCAGAAAGAGAAATATATATATTAGCTCTAATATAACACACGTACAAAAATCTTGTATTGATATCATATATTCCTATTTTTTAATATCAATTCCTCCACAAGTTCTTTAATATCTCTCCGTCTTCCCTTTTCTAAGGCACGTATTAGATTTATGGCCCATTGCTCAGTGTCGGATTGCAATATATAAATTTTTAAAATCTGTAAACACAAATTATTTCAGTATTAAGTTCAATCTGAGTATATATTTTAGATGTCTACCTAAGCATGTGTCATGTAGTACACACACACACACACACACACACACACACACACACACACACACACATATATTATACATATATTTAAGTCTTTATTATAAGTGTGTTACCTCATAGCTTTGCTCCTTCAAATCATAAGGATATTTATTTTGTATAGCATCGATTTCACATTCTGTAATACCTAAATGTCTAGCTACATCTCGCCAAGATCGACCTAGTCTGTCTTTGACTTGTAGCATCACTTTAAAAAACATGTGTATATATATATATATATATACATATACAATATGATTATAGTCTTGTTTGTGTGTAGGCGCGCACACTGTATATACATGCACACAGAGTGTGATAAAAAATTTATCATGTTTCTTTTTCAATTTTTTGTTTGATGTATATTAGGTCTTATAAACACGTTATGAATAAAAAAAAAGTTATAATTCAAGATTTTAAAAATACCTGCTTCTTGTAATTTTCTTCTTTCGTAAAGATTATAGTGTTCCTTTTGCTCAGAATTACAATATAATGTTTGTGAACTACTGAATGGTTTAGTTGAATTTTCTATTAACAATTGAGATAACATAGAATTGCATGCATGCTCTGAGCAAGACTTTGATGCTAGTGATGGTACCAAAACTGTTGTAAAGAGATATAATTTATTAGCGCTTATCAAATTATTTTATAACTATTTCAACATATTATCAAGTTATTTTAATGTATCTGCAATGGAACTTTCCTAACTTCAGTACTCTTATAACTTCATTTCTCCTTCCATATATACATGGGCCGTGGTCCGATTCATGCTGACACGCTCATGAGCATCGTTTGTCTTCATTTAACATTTGACAAACAACAAGGATAAAATTATTTTTAAGCATTGAGAGCGTGAGACGGATCGCGGCCATGGTGTGCTCCCAAAGTTTGGCCAAATCACACCTATTTTTGCTCCGCGTCGTCTCTAAGTGCGCAGACCAACTGTGAAACGCGAAACATGGGGCGATATTCATAGTCCATTTTTATTTTAAAATCATCTTAAATATAATGTCTTAAGATATTAATACAGTCTTCGGATTGATTTACGACATCTTAAGATTGACTTAAAACAATCTTAAATGTAAGAATCAACTATGGATACCGACCTGTTTCGCGTTATGAAGTTGGTATTGAATCTTTCCTTCTACAAGGAAAGATTCAGTACTAACTTCATGACGCGAAACAGATCAGTATTCATAGTCGATTCTTACATTTAAGGTCTGAACATAAGAATTGTCGTAACACTTACTTAAACTTAAGTTATAGACCTAAGTAATGCATAAGCTTTTACGTATGACATACAACTTATTACCGTGTCTCTAAGGGCTGCCGCACACAAAATTCCATAATAGTATGCGTAAGGTGTAAACTTAAGCCGATGAATCAATCAGGATACTGCTTTAGATTACGTAATCTAATGGAAATGGAAATAACAGTAAACTTATCCTTAACCTCACAAAAAGGTGAATTTCAACCGGTTGAAATTCACTTTATGAATAAGTTTACTGCTATTTCTATTTCCATTAAAGTACGTAGATCTAAAGTAGCATTCTTGACTCATCGGCTTAAGTTCATGTCTTAAGGTTACTGTTACAGAAATTTTATCTGCGGCAGCCCTAAGAGACGGCAAATAGTCGCAATATGTCACATACGCCAAAGCTTGTGCGTTACTTACGTCTACAACTTAAGTCTCTAAATAAGTGTTATAACAATTCTTGTGCTCAGACCCTACAACTATCTTAAGTCAATCTTAAGATATCGTAAGTCAATCTGAGGACTATATTAACATCTTAAAACATTATATTTAAGATGATTTTAAAATAAAAACGGATTATGAATACCGTCTCATGTTTAGCGTTTTATAATTATAGCACAGTATAAGTACATACAGTAAGGACACTTTTTATGTGATTCCCATTTTTAGTGCGCATGCGATTTTCAACTAGGAATGTGATTGCCTTCAGCAAGTTGAAATTGCAGGTTAGGTTAGATTAAGTTAGCTCTCCTTTCCATAAAATATAATTATCCCTTTCGCCTACAATATTATGTGATCTTCGTAATGAGGAAATCGGACCAAACATGAGTATCACGGGTGAGAGGCGTGGTACGTCGTTCGTACAAAGCTTAATATTTTTTTAAATATTAATAATTTGTAAGAGAAAAGTGTGATAAAGGGTTAATAAAATTAAGTTTTACTAAAAAATTAAATCAAATTTTTTCGGAGACGCTATATTGTGTAGATTGTTATATTTGTATATGATAAAATATTCTCGTAATAAAGTATGCATGTGTGTGTGTGTGTGTGTGTGTGTGTGCATGTGTGTGTGCGTATATTAAATTACAACTTCACATTTAATTTCAATTTTCGTGCAATATATGACTTTTTCATATATGATTATTCAATTACAATTTTTATATAGTATTTAATCAATTATTATTTTTAATTTACTTATTACTGTTATTATTATTATTAATGTGAATATTATTTTTATATAAAAATTATATATATATTATATATATTATATTATTATATAATTCTCATTTAAAAATATACTATAAACAATTTTCATGACATGACCGAATTGTTTTTTTTTTCCAGAAAAATCATTCTATAACTTTATAAAAATTCAAATTTATGAGCGCCTTTCCAATCCACAACATGACGGCGAATCATGTGACTTGAGACCTACTACATCAAAGGTGCCGACGCTCGTGTCTATACTGTATGTACTTATACTGTGGCTATAGCCTTGCGAAACGAGAAATAGAGAAACGACAGAGAGCTAATTTTAGAGAGAGACTTTCAAACTGAGCACACCATGTAATCCTTTCACCATGTGATGTAATGTATAAAAATTTTCAGTGTTAAGAGCATGCTAAAGCTGCTTGTTTTTACCATCATTTCCATTCGGTGAAAAATTTTCAAATTGAACCGAGTTTGTAGAACTAATGCCCATATTTTTAGTCAGATCTTGTACTTAAAGCTTCCTTAAATTTATCTTCAGATGCTCAGCAGCCAATGAAATAATTCGTAAAGTATCTAAAGATAAATTTAAGGAAGCCTTAAATATAAGGCCTGACTATGAATATCAGTATAAGATTCACATTTTTTATTTATTTCTTACATTATATTATATAATATTGGGTTATCTAAAAAGTATCCGCGGTACTTTGTCACCAGATATATGACCATCAACATACATCTAGTGACAAAAAACCGCGGATACGTTTTAGATGACCCAATATATATATCATTCTGTCTTAAGCAACAATTCTTGCACAACACATAATACATAATATATAAAAAAATATACCAATCAGTGTCCTTCATTTCTTTCCTTTCCATGAAATAAAGAACTCTGATTGATTGAATTTCTCAAACATTATGCGGTATGTAAGAGTCTGTGCTCCCAGAGTATATCTATACAAACTTGCATAGCCGCATAAATGTATACATAAAGAAAATTATCCAATCACATTTTATTTGTGTCTTTATAAGAAAAATGCGATAATTTTCTTTATGCATATACGTTTATGCGGTTATGCAAGTTGTGTGGATATATCCTTAATCGGGAAGCACAGATTTATACATAACGCATAAAACATGAGACATAAGAAAATCAACCAATTAGAGTCTTTTATTTTACGGAAAGGAAGGAAATAAAGCACTTTGATTAGTTCATTTTTTTATACCTTATGTGTTATGCATCATGCAAGAGTCTATGCTTCTCGCTTTACTCAAACTATGCGTTTGAGTAAAACAGAACGATATAATATAATGCAAGAAATGAATCAAAGATGTCATTATTATTAAATTTGGAATTAAAAAAGTCTACTACCTCGATCAAGTTCGATAATCGGTTTAGCATTCCCTTAATACTTAAGGGAATGCTAAACCGATTATCGAACTTTATTATATTGGGTCATCTAAGAGATAGTGTTGACCATCAACACCATCTAGTGACAAAAAACCGCGGATACTTTTTAGATGACCCAATATATCGTTTTGTCTTACTCAACTGCATACATCTGTCCTTAACTATGTGGGGAATTCTTAATGCCTCACTAGCGCAGCGAGCGTAGTAAGCTTAAGGATTGTGTTGGTAACGAGTTGCCTAGCAGCGTAAAAAAATAATAAAAAAAGAAATATTATATTATGAGATCAATAGAGGTGTTCGTCCTGTACGTTCGTATAAAATTGTACTCGTGAAATAAATATTATATTTACAGTTACAAATTAAGTCTCGATTGTAAATTTCTTTATCACATCACACGACAAGCGTGGGCTTGTCAAAAGAACTCTGACTTATCCATTGAGTCAGATTTCCCACAACTAACATATGCCAGCACCATCTATCGCAAGACCGCGCAACTACTGCTACACAGAATTTCCGCTCTGTTAACATTCCCAGTCTTAGCAAAGCAACTGTATAAGTACACGTATTTTCCACTCGGTGAAAACATTTTTACTTAAAATACGAAGTGCTACTACAGTCTGAGTGTCGAGATGTTGAACTAATATATATTCATATAAATGAATTAATTTTAGAAATGATAATTACGATATGGTTGTCGGACTTTCAACGCATTTCGTGTCTTGGTGATCTAAAGGCTCAGGACGCTCGCACGGAATGCAAGAGATCCGGATTTGACTCCCGGTCGAGGCAATATTTTTCGCAATAAGTTTATTACAATTTTTTAAAATTAATCTGGGAAATTTGGGGGAATTATTAATATTTCAGATTGATTACATTGAAAGTCCGACAACCATAATTATCATTTCTGAAATTAATTCATTTATATGAATATATATTAGTTCAACATCTCAATACTCAGACCGTAGTAGCGCTTCGTATTTTAAGTAATGTTATTTAACATAAACGGTCTTGTTTCTAATCTTATTGAAAAAACTTTTCTTCTAGACTTTCAATCTTAATTCTATAAACTCGTTCGTTTCAGTAATGTGAATGACCTCAATTACATGCTTATTTTTAAGATATGGACTCTATTGCCTGTTCTACAATAGAGTCGCAAGTCGTAAGAAATTGGTCAATCACAGTTAAGTGAGAAGAATCGACTGTGATCAGCAATATTTTTACGGTTTACGCCTACATCTCTATTAGAATAGAACAGACCTAAAACTCTTACATCAAATAAATATATATACCTGAGGTGATAGCCAAAAGTGAATTTTTTAACTTTTTTTCGATTTTTTCATAAAATCCAATGCAGCTAATAACAATTTTGTAATTCACAAATCCAATTCGGACATTTTTCATTGAGTGGAAATGATAATACAGACAGCTTTAGCATCCTTTTAAAATAGATTATGTTGCGTTGACATCTGTGCAAACGTTCTCACTATATGTAATACATGCTATTTCTTTTTAATACTCCGCCCCTAATGTACAAATGAATCTCTCTAACTTCTCATAGCCGTGTAGTAGAAGTTATATTCCACTATATAATAAAGAGAAATTATGCTCTAAGAATATTAGTAAACTAAAAATTGCATGTTTTTGAAGTTTGTCATCCTTATACTATTCTTATTTTTATTTACATGATCTTATTCTTAACTATATTATTTAAGAATTCTCGAATTAACTTTGCATAATGTTATATATTTAATGAAAAAATCTATAAAAACTTTTGTTATCTTATAAATATTTTTCAAATTCTAAAATATCAGAAAAATTAATTTAAAAAATACTTACCTTCACTTTGATATATATTACATAAAGATAATGGTGACACAGCCTCCAGCCAACTTTCATATTCTTGCAATTTGCTTTCTAAATCAGACTTGTGAATATACTTTTTTGATATACACCATAATGGCTCTATATTACTGTAACTCATAATATCTCGTTTTTCCAGTAATCTAATAAACTTTTTGAGGTCCTTTATCTGGCTCAATTTACGTTTTGAATCAATTTCATGTGCATAGTTACATTTCATCTGATTCAAGATATTACTGTCAATGAAAGGCTCAGCTATACTGAGGAAGTCTTGACAAAGTAAGGTATATTTTTCAAACATCTTGTACTTCCAAAGACTCAATTTTTCAAGCCAGATTCTGCGGCATATAAATAAGATAAATGTTAAGAAGAACCCGATCAATTTTGAACTTCAAATTTTATTAAAAATACATTAAATCAATTTTTGTAAAAATAAAGAAAAAAAGGGTAATTATACAGTTTAGCATAATCATCTAAAAAATCAATATAATTAGGCTTATTCGATGCATTTTTGCATGAAATGAAAGAATCTGGCAAAAAAAAGCATCGCTCTGCCCTGTGATCCGAGATATTAAGCGTTAAAGTTAATAACTATTGAGGGAAAGTTAATAACTATTTAGGAAATCTATCACAGAGGTAAAATGAGGATAATTCTTCAGAAAAGCTACCTCCGATTTCAATAAAATTAGGTTTACTCGATGCGTTTTTGATTGAAACAAAAGAATCTGGCAAAAAAAAAGCGCTGCCCTGTGAACCGAAATATTGAGCATTAAAGTTGATTAAAGTGTTACTACGTAACACGATTATTATAATCTGTCGTGTAGACAGTGGAGTGTACAGACTAGCGCTTATTACAAGGCGGCTATGCCGCCACGAACAAAAAAAATTCTATCCGCTAGGCTATGTTTAGATTCCCACCCGAGTGCCACCCAGATATCACTGTCCTTGTATTGAACGTTAAACAAGAATGACATCTGGAAAACACCCGGGTGAGAATCTAAACACGAGCCTTGAGACCTAATCGCCTAGAAGTTGCAGCCTAGACAGTGTTCACTTGGAATATTTTTAACCCATGAAGACAGTGGAGTATGAAAACAGTCTTTTTAAAGCGGTCTTTTTACTGTTTAGGCTGCAACTTCTAAGCAGTTTAGGCCCCAAGCGGATTAGAATGTGTTACTTTTATTTTTGTTCAGGGCAGCATAGCCGTCGCGAATCAATAAGCACTAATCTATACACTCCATTGTCTACATGACAGATTAATGATTGCGTTATGTAGTAACACTTTAGTCAACTTTAATGCTCAATATCTCGCTTCGCAAAACAGTTCCGGACTTTTTCTACTAGATTCTTTCATTTTAGGCAAAAATTCGAACGAGTCTAATTTTATCAAAATTGAAGATAGTTCTTCTAAAGAATTACCCTCATTTTGTTTCTGTGACAAATTTCCTAACCTCAATAGTTATCAACTTTAACGTTTAATATCTCTGATCACAGGACAGAGTGACGCTTTTTTTACCAGATTCTTTCATTTCATGCATTGAATAAGCCTAATTTTAATGATTTTTGAAATGATTATATTAAACTGTATAATTACTGAAAAGTGTCGCTCTGTGCCGAACCGAGATATCAAGTGTTAAGTTTTAAAAGTTAACTATTGAGGTTAGAAAATCTGTCAAAGCCACGAAATACAACGAAATACAGCAAAACATGTGCTACTCACAAATTCGCTATTTTAAAACAAGTTCTCAGCGGAATTCTATAAAACGTTCTATTGTCTACAATTACTACGTTTACACGGCACACTTTAAGAATCCTTTTCATGCGCCGCTGAAACGCTCGTTTTTTTTTAGCGTCAAAAGGATCACGTGACCACAATTGTTGCCAGCGACAACCGAAATCCATGAAAAGGATTTACAACACCGAATTTTGAGCGACAACTTAACCTATTTTGAAGCGATGATATATAGTAGCAGTTAGAGACCCTCAAGTACTACGGCAATTTGATCAATGTTAATATTATAAACTTTAATTTATAAATTCAGTGTATTTAATAATATCGATAATTAATGAAAAACAATATATAATGTAAAAACAAAACAATATATAATAAGATTGGAGACCATTTATTTAAATAACATTATTTTAAATACGAAGCGCCACTACTTTGAATGTTGAGATGTTGAATTATTATATAATACATTTATATATTCATATAAATGAATTAATTTCAGAAATGATAATTGCGTGCCGATATGGTTGTCGGATCTCTTGCATTCCGACGTGCGAGAGTCTTAAGCCTTTAGACTACTGGTTCGACTCCCGGCCGAGGCAATATTTTTCGCAATAAATTTATTATAGTTTTTTAAGATTAATTTGGGAAATCCCATTTGAGGGGATTATCAATATTTCAGATTGATTGCGTTGAAAGTTCGACAATCATATCGGCACGCAATTATCATTTTTGAAATTAATTCATTTATATGAATATATATAATAGTTCAACATCTCAACATTCAGACCGTAGTGCTTCGTATTTAAATTAATGTTATAAAACAATATATAATATAATAAATAAAAATTATGCATGTGCGTCTAAAGCATTGTATCTAAAAACTTTTTCATTATCTCTCGCCATTTGCGTAAAGCATTTCTCGCAGCTGGCATCCTAACAAAAATGCATTAATTTCATCTAGAACTGGAATAGGCAGAAGATTAATAGATATATCGTTAGCGTTGCACAATGCTTTTGCAATTTTATATATTGCTTTGGCAGACTTTTCAGAATTACTCTTCTTTCTTTTCTTGCGAGACCCACTATCTATAAAAAAAGTAAATATTATGAACAATAAGTCACATTATTGTGTTCTAATATTCATTAATAGTATAGAAAATTGATAATGTTCTTTTATATTTATAGTTTTAATATTTGTACAATAGTAGAGAATATATTTTATGTTCAATATATACTTGATTCAATGTTTTCAACATTATCTTCAAAATCAATATTACTCATGGTGCTATAAATATTAAAATTATCATTACGGATTGTATCAAATATAATATTTTTGATATTTATATAAAATATCTTCTAATTCTTACATTTTCAACAAGCAAGAATTTCATAAAAATTCCATTGAGTCGTAATGAGGTTATTTATTTCCATTGTTTTTTTTTGAGCAGATCCACTGGCACTAATTTCTGATCTAATTATTCGTCGATATGTATTATGTAAGCTTGTACATTTTATTTTAGCTCCATTGGCTGTAATTTTCTCCATTTAAAGCATTTGCTACTTCTTGCCATAAATTTGTAATTTTTATGTTGCGTAGTGGTAATGGAAATTTATATAAAATTTCAAAAAGATTTTCGTAACTGGACTTCTTAAATGAGAATTTCTTCATCATGATTGATGAAGTTTTGTTTTTAAGCTTCCAACTTAATTTCTTCGTTTCTCATAAGAATTTTGTTCAGATAATATTCCTTGTATAGGCGTAACAAACTCTAAATACAAAATTTAAATACATTAGAAACAATAAAAAAAGTTTTCATTATTTTGATACAATTATCAAGTTTATTACCTATTTTTCTTATGTGATTGCATTGTTGCTATTTGTTTTTTGTTTATGCTTGGCACTCTGCTTTTTATTATGATCACTTCATCTGTAAGATATTAAATAATAACATGTATTAAATTAAGTAATAAATAAAAATATATATTAAATAATAAAACGTCTATCTTTTAATATATATAACAGTTATAGGAGCTAATTTACCTAATATAGGATAAAAATATAATGTAATTATGTATTGTGTATAATCTTTTAAATAAGCATGATTCGCGATATTTGCTTGCTCGCAAATTATTTCACACAATCCGCATGTTTGTACGAGATTGAGGGATTAATCCTGAAAAATATATTAAATTTAATGTTACAAATATTTCTAAATTACTTTTAATTTGTTAGTGTTGTTATTTCATATTTTAGCTAATTATTGGATCATCTAAAAAGTATCCGCGGTTTTTGTCACTAGATGGTGTTGATGGTCAACACCATCTAGTGACAAAAAACCGCGGATACTTTTTAGATGACCCAATATAATCTTTTAGTTCTGATAAAATTGAGGTTATAATATATGTATTTTTAAGATATATTATTTGGTTTGTATGATATTATTGAAGATCACAAAATTTAGAAGATGTAAAATTTGTAAAAATTAATTACGTACATCAAAGTTCATTTTTTATTTTGAATCGAGATCAATCGAAATAATACAGCTCGAGAATCAAGATGAACACAGATCCAGCGACGACGCTAAAGGTCGCAGCACAAACTTTTGCATGATGCATAACGCATAGTGCATAACAATCAGAATCTTTTTTTTCCTCCCATTCTATGGAAAAGAAGAATTTCAATTGATTGATTTCCTTATGCACTATGCGTTATGCAAGAGTCTGTGTTGCGGTCATAATTGATAGACAAATTCAACTTCCCTTCTTTGACGCTATCATCAAGCAGAATGGTCACGTGACGTCTTTTGACACCGAAAATGAGCGTCGAACGTCAGCATAAAATGGCACCTTTATGCCGAAGTTATAACGTCGATGTTATGAAACTGGCCAATCATAGTCATTCTATTCTTCATTCTATTCTAAAGGAATAGCTATGATTGGCCAATTTTATAACATCGATGTTATAACTTCGATATAAGTATCGTGTAACAGAGATCAATGAGGTTAAAGTCTCATGAGGTGTATTTATCGCGTAATCGCGCAATTAATCAGAAGCGATCCGCTGTTGTAATTTTGTGTTTTATTACTAATTGGTTACGCGATACGCAATACGCGGCATATATGCCCAGGTGATTCTATGCAGCGGATTGTGCATAAGCGGATTCGTGTATCGCCAATCACAGAATCATCCTCTTAGATCTGATTGCAAATTTCGCAAGCAGATCTAAGAAAATGATTCTATTAACGTTTTCGGCCCAATCGGGTTTGCACCAACTTGGGTTAGAAAATGCTTCGCTATTGATTGATGTTACACGCTCTACCAATAGGAGCGCACGAAACATCATTACTTCAGGTTAATGCAAACTCGGTCGGGCCGAAAACGTTATATGATTGGCGATACGCGAATTCGCTGCATAGGATATCATCCTCATGAAGACTCTACCCTAAGATTTTAAAGTGTAGGATCGCAACACATTGAGCGCATTCAAGTTGACAAAGCGGCTAGCCTACTCGCCTAACAAATTAGCATAATTGGTTGTTACTTATAGATCCAACCAATCATATTCAATCGCTCGATAAGCGTATCTAGTCGCTTTGTGATAATTGAGCATTGTAGAAAGATTTAGCTAATACATTAAATAAATATAATAAAATAATTCATCTCCATCTACAATCTGATATAACTGGAATAGTAAATATAACGCAGTAATGTGTAGGCGTTAGTAATATAATTCAAGAAAATTCTAAAATATCTAAATATTTTAAAATCAAGGTCTATTAATATTATTATTTAATATTCAATACTAAATAAAAGAATGGATAGTAGGTTACCAAGAATAATAAAATATATGTATATAATGTATATAGTATATATATATTTGTAACAAAACTGAGTAAATATCGAAAAGATAATGTATTATAATATTGTAAGAGAGACGTAAATTATCATAATAGAATCTAATATAATCCGAGATAATAAGCGCAGGAATATAACAGAATATTGTAATAATAGAGTATTAATATATAATATTACGGTATAATAAAATATTATTATAAATTTATAAATTCATCCGTATAACAAATCAAACTAATCAAAACTCCTTATAAATTAAAGAACTGGAAAGGGTAGGAAGGGCAGTAAGGAATCAAGTGCAGAAATCAGTGTCGTTCGTACGTAATAATGAATCTTTCTAGCATGTTTATCGATTGCTTTCTTGTTCTTGAAATTGACTAACGCTTTAATGATACATTTTTCCATTTGTTATCTCGGAAAATTACTAAAAAAAAGTGATTTATTGTGTCTGATTGGCCAACATTATCAGGAGCCGGTTCTTGAATTATTTTTATAGTAGTATTTATAATATGATGCTCTGTGAGCATCCTATATTTACTGTATAATTAATTATAATCTTAAAATTGTTTGATAAATTAAATAGTTCTCCATATTCTATTTTACGATATTTCCTAATTTCTTTTCTTTTTTCTTTCACTCTTTTTGGTTTTAATTCCGACATTTAAATTCTCGATGTAGGGGAACTCACCATGACAGGATAACTATTATTCACAATTTTTATATACTCGTATGTTAATTTGTCTTTGAGGAAGGCTCAAAAATGAACCGAAACATGTAAGTGCGTTTTAGTGAAGTTTCACACATCATAGATATATTATTTGCGCGACGTTTTCTGCGCTTAACTCCTATTGCCTTTCCAGTTCTTTGATTTATAAATTCACTGGTGGCTCGCAAGCATTACAAACATAAAATACAAAAATCATTCAGTCACGCGCAGAATGTTTTTTTGCGAATGTCGTATATTTCTAATTCTTACGTTAAATATACAAATTATAGCCATTTCGGCCTATATCAGGCCATCTTCAGTATACAATATAAATAATATAAAAATAGTTCGCAGTCATCAAGATTAATGCGCATTTCTACCAACGTAGAACTTAATTTCGGTTCAACTTACTCTTTTTCTAATCTTTAGAAAAAGACGAAGAGTAAGTTGAATCGAGATTAAAGTTAATCTACATGTTGGTGGAAATGGGCATAAAAGAATTGAAATAAATAAAAGATCAATGATTCTTATTATTAGTCATAAGATTAAAAGAATAAATTAACAATAAATTTTAGTTCAAGTATAATCTACGCTTGTGTATGTTGTCGAAAAATTCTTGCTCTAATCGTCTTAATGAGAGACTTTTATATTAAAATGTGAGAAACGCCAGATTTCCAGATTCTAATAAGAGTAAAGGATCCAAATTTAAAAATAGCAAAAACCGTTTCCTTTTGTATTTTTACTCTTGTTAGAATCTGGAAATCTGGCGTTTCTCATAACGTTTCAATATAAAAGTCTCTCATTAAGATGAATAGAAACAAGAATTTTTCGACACATACACAAGCATAGATTGTATTTAAACTAAAATTTATTGTTAATTTATTCTTTTAATCTTATGACTGAGAATTATTGATCTTTTATTTATTTCAATTCTTTTAATCTTATGACTGCAAACTATTTTTATATTATTTAGATTGTACACTGAAGATATAGGCCAAAACATCTATAATTTGTATCTTTAACGTAAGAATTTAAAATATATGACATTCGCAAAAAACATCCTGTGCTGAATGCTCTTTGTATTTTATGTTTGAAATATTATTACGTAGTAGATTATTATTTGAAATTGAGATTTGATATGAATGATCACGAAAAATACGTACAATGTAATTAATCATGTGTGTGTGTGTGTGTGTGTGTGTGTGTGTGTGTGTGTGTGTGTGTGTGTGTGTGCTGAAATAACGAAAGAAAAACTATTTCGTTAGATTGAATAATAAAAGGAAAGTTTCATTAAGAGATGTGATTTAGATACTCAATAGTAAAAATAACGATTATTGTCTTATAATAATTTAAAATATACATATACTTGAAATATATATTTATATAGATCTTAAATTTAGATAATAATTGACGGTTACCTTTTAGATTTACCGTAGAACTATACTCGGAGTTGAACCTGCGCAGAATGCGATATTATCAAATAGAATTAGAGTCGCAAGAGATTTTCGAGTTTTGAGTAGACCTTCGAGTCTTTTTTCAAGAGAGAATTAGCACAAGAGACAGTGGTATAGATGAACGTCTTATCGTGACGACTGCTTGGAGACAACTGCACTCCGCGACGACGAGTTACCGTCTTCGAATCCCGGATAAGACAAAGAAAATCTGCGACAGTCAATCGAGCGTCTATTTTTCTATTTACAATAAAATAATTATTTTGCAACTTTAGATTTTGATTTTCTTTTTGTTCTTCTAATTTCCTTCTTTTACCTTATAAAGTTGTTACGTCCAAGCTCCGCATGCATGGAGCTGACGGTGAACGCAACAAGAATCGAATTTATTAGATTTGGTCGTGTCCAGGCCCCGCAAGGGCGCTGTAGAGAAGGACCGATGAAAATCGGGAAGCACTTCGCTTCGTCCTGAGGGGGCTCCTAACGGAGCCGAAGGTCGAATGGAGGACGAAGTGGAAACCTCTTGTGCTCCACTAAACGGACACACGAGTCGGACGTACTTTTAATTTAAAGGGCCCAAACTGGATCAGTGTGCTGGAAGGGGCGCACTTTAACGCCAGATGTGCTAGTATGTCCGTATGTTCTGACTTTCGGTCATGGAACTTAATCCAAGTGATCGGGGAGAGGGCGAAGTGCAACCGTGGGAGAGCTTATAGTAAATACAAGAAGTTTTTTCAAATTAATTAACGAGGGTTAAATTTAATAGTAGTATAATAAAAGAAATATTTAGTAATACATTTTTCTTAAGTATAAAGATATAAGCTTTTGGTTCTCTATTCTGAAGTATATGGTTGTACGCATTTATTATGTATGTGTGAGTATGTGTGGAAAGAGACTTGTGTGTAATACGGATGTTTATGTGGAGAATTTGGAAGGAGCAGAAGAAAATTAAAGTTGTGAAACCTCATATGATTGGAGAGAAAGAGGATCGATGGGAATGAGGGATGCTATGGGGACTGAAAACAAGCAAGCGGTGAATCTTGCGATGCCAACTATCACTTGGTCAAGGATGGAAGGAATAAAGTAGGACATGTATTTCAACTGATGAGCGTTATGAAAGAGGAGAGGAAGATGACTAGCGGGAGAGTAAGTGTCAGGTTAAACAGGAGGAATTAGGGGGTAATATGCGAGACGGAAAATTCCTCAATCGGAGGTGATGATATCGGATGTGAAACAGGGGGAGGACTGGATGGGAAGAAATCTGGGGACAAATCGAAGACAGGGGAGTAAGAAATTTCTAATAGCGATGATAGAATCGAGGCTGGAGGCTGAACGATCGGAATCTGTTCTTGGGCTGAATTAGCGGAGATTGTTCTCTAGAGTTTTTCGCGATGTTAAAGCGGACACGGGCGATGAATCATTGCGCATCATTGTGCATCATTATTAGTCTCCGCTAGGTGTCAGTGACAAGGGAAGAATTGCGTGAACGCACTAAAAATTTGATCGTCTTTAAAGAAGGAGCACAAGAAGAGGAGGGACACACAGTGTACTGCAGCGAAATCTAAGACTTACTACTTGGCGATAGCGATGTATCGAGTGTCCGAGAGATCGTCGGAGAGAGTGCCGTCGATTGTGGGATGCTGGGCGGCAGACCGCTTCATTAATTTCTCCAGTCAGCCAGTGCCGTTGATTTTAAGATGGTTTTGCACTGACTCTACTGGAGAAAAAGAACTTCGAGAATCGGATGAAAT